TGAATTATGGTATTTATAAAGAATTTAAAATATATTACGGACTGCCATAAAAACAAACAAATCTGCCTTGAAAGAATCACAGCTAAAATGCTCTTTAGAAATAAGGATGGTGAGATTTTATCTCACCTCCTTTGGACATGGTATCAGGGGAACCAGCCCCTGGAAAAGGACACCATGCTTGGTGAGCAGAGGGGCAGTGAAGAGGAGGGGAGCCTTCTAAAAAGATGCAGTGACACAGTGACTACTACAATGAGTTCAAGCACAACAACTGGAACAGGACAAAGCCATGTTCCTCCTTTTGCAGATAGGGTCGCTATGAGTTGGAACTATTTGATACCACCTGACAATAATAATGAAAGAAATTTTAAAGTTTTTCTGAGTGGAATGTTGGCCTGAGTGAGGAAATTAGTAACTCTCCCATATTGTTTTGGCAGATCTTATCTGGGAAGGGCCTGCAGAAAAAGTACCTCGAAGTAAGTAGGTGTTTATAGGAATGTATTTTAAGTGTACAGCTATATAAGATCTATCTTTAGTAAAGACAAATATCACAATCAAAGGTTATATGAAATACATCTCCTCTTCGTCACTGGAGCTATTATTGTAAATAAAAAAGTCAAACAGGTAATAGTTTTGCTTTTCAAAATAATAATTTATTGTTTTCGGTCAAAGTTCACATATAAAACCAGGTTCCCCATTTAATAATTTCTGCACATACTGCTCAGTAACATTGGTTACATTCTTCACCAAGTGTCAGTATTTCTAGCCTGGTGTTTCTTTTACCATTTACCAAACTGGCCTGCCCTCTCTTACCTTCTCATCCTGCCTTGGGGTAAACGTTGATGGTTTGGTCCCATGAAGTGACTTTTTCAAAGAGCACGGTGCTCATGGGTGATACTGGTACTTTTTGAGCTAACCTCTGAGAGTAGTTTTAGTTCCAGGTTTACAAGATATTGCAGGGTGACATGTCTTAGGAGTTCTTCTTGTCTCTACAGGTCCAGTAAGTCCAAATTTTTTATGATGACTCTAAATCCTATTTCATATTGATCTGACACCTCTTATGCAGATCAACATTAACAGTCCATTAGTTTGGCAACAGGGAAAGAAGCCTACAAGGAATGACGTATGTCAAAATCACTCCCACCAACTTCATGCATCTCATCATCCAGAGAGTCCCTAGGGTCTGAATAAGTATGGTCCAATTCTATTAAGTATGGCTCCTTGCCTTTCTTAATCCACAGACTACTAGTAGGACAAGTCCATGGACAAAGACAAGAAGAGACAGCTGACAAACTGCTAGACAACGCAAGAAGCGACAAACAAAAGCAAAAACCAAAAAGTCTTGAAAATAACTACCATAAAGGCTTTTCCAAGAGGTCTGGTGGCACTATGGGCTAAGTGTTGGCCTGCGAACCACCAAGTTGGCGCTGCAAACCTACCAGCTGAGGGAGAAAGATGAGGCTGTCTGCTCCCAAAGAGATTTAAGTCTTAGAACCTCATTAGGGTTGTTATGAGTTGGAATCAATTTGATGACATGGGTGTTTATTTTTTGAAGGAGGGGAGGGGTTAAAGACCTTTTGTTGAATGTTGAAGAATATTTGAATTAAGAGATACGATTGGTTTTTAGAGTCCTGGTGGTGGTGTGGGTTACACATTGGTTTGCTTACCATAAGGTCAGCAGTTTAAAATCACCAGCCCCTCCGTGGAAGAAAGATGAGACTTTCTACTCACGAATTATAGTCTTGGAAAACCACAGGGGCAGTTCTACTCTGTCCTACAGGGTCACTCTGAGTCTGAACTGACTTGATGGTAGTGAGTTGAGTTGATGACCTTGAGTCATCAGAAGTTAACTTGTATTCCATGTAGGATGGAGGTAGGGAAATTTCCCATTAGATTATTAATGAATGGGTTTAATATTGAAGCTTCTAGTCTGTTATATAGAAAATTCAGTTAAGAGGAACACCTTATTCACAAATGATATCAAACAAACTGGTATTAAATAGAAACAGGTTATCCAGTAAAGTTAATTCCCACCACTAATATCTATGAGCTATTCTGAAAATAAGGGATGATCCTGAGGTGCACACTATGGACTTCCTTTATGCTGTGTGCCCAATTCAGTGGTTGAGACAGTGTGCTCATGAGAAGTACCTTTCAGGCAGTTTAAATGAAAGGAAAGGAGCCCATATGTTGGTAATATATTTTTTAATCCCACTAAGTATAGCTCGGGAACGTCCTAATTTTTTTTTTAAGAGGAGAAGAGATAAAATTTTAAGACTAATAGTCAGTGTCACTGGTGACAGCAAAATTTGGAGCCAGAAAATTGGCTCTATTAAACCACATATATATAATCTAAGGTTTTCTGTTTAAACAGGTCCTCCTGGGTCGCATGATTAAATACAAATAGTTCCTGGCTTCTCCTACTTCTCTTCTGCCTCTTCCTGTTCTAGGTGGATGACTCCAGGGCCACTCTGCTTCCTTTATTTTATCCTAATGTCCAAGTGTTGTGCAAAATTGAAAGAAGAAATAGCATTTCCTCAAGGAGGGGAGGCAGTCTGTAACCCTCGAACTGTGGACAGAAGTGAAGTGGATGGCTTTGCAGAAAGCCCTGGATGCTTTCAGCAGTCTTGCTCTTCAAGAATACAAGCTCCAAGCAAGGGCTTACATGAAGTATGCTCTTAAGTGTACATTAAAGGCGAACCAAGACCGTAATTTAGAATATGGGAACAAATTAAGATGCATGGATTATGTGTAGTTACAACATAAAAAAGCAATTTCAATTTTATTTAACAGAATTTAGAGCCATGAAATAAGGACTAAAGACAGCTTCTACAACAAAAAAGAAATGGCGCCCAACGAAAAGACCGCTCTTTCTTATTAAAGAGCAAGCTTAGTCTTTGAGTGTGGTCGTTACATAATCTGTTGTCAATTTGAGACTATTATGAGTGAAGGGATGAATTTAACCTGTCAATCAGGTTGCAGCTTGATGACCTCACTTGGAGGCGCTAAGGAGATAAATAGCTCGCTGGAGGCAAGGCACAGACACACTCCCTGCAAGACATTCCTGTTGAGAAGACACATGGAGCTACGCCAGAGCCCTGGAGCTGAAAGAGCCATGTGGAGCCCCTGCCAGTGCTGAGATGCTTCCACTGCCACTGAATCCACAAGACTTTCTACTACTGACCTGGGATCTTCCTGCATTGGGCGTCAATGTATGTGTTGCATGAGTCTGAAGAGGAATTTCGAGATTGGCATCGGACATAAGGGCTAATATTGGACTTATGGAGTTGATCTGGACTGGGCTCAGATGTTTTCTCAATATTCAACTGCTCTTGTATATAAAGTTCTTTCTTATACATATTTGAGTGCCTCTGGATTTATTTCTCTAGTCAATCTGGATTAACACAATGAGTATTCAATATCAAATACATTTTCAGAAGCAACTATTTTTGGTCAAGGAGTGTGGTAGCTACATAATCTGGTGTCAATTTGGGACTTGAGAGGATTCAGAGTGAAGGGGTGGAGTCTGGCTGTCAAATGAGGATGTTTCCTCAATACTCAACTGCTCTTGTATAAAAAACCTCTTTCTTATATAGACATGAGTGTGTCTATGAATTTGTTTCTCTAGTCTACCCAGACTAACACAAAGAGACACTACACTAATACAAATGTTTGCCACCTGTGCCAGAGGTGAATTTGAATAGAATACTTGGTATGTTTCACATCATAAAGTTTCTTTCTCACATGGCTTTAATATATACGACAGCAGAGGCTTTAGTGAGTTTAAAATGCCAACATTCCTACAACGTACTACATCATTTTGTGCACCATCAGATTGTATGTGCTGGTCCTTATTCTGGCCCTTTGGCTCTCTCTCACACAGTCCCACTTCTCAGGGGTGGCACAGGGGCTCTCAAATGTTTACTGTGGCTTCACCCCGAGTACGGAATACCACAGAAAATCATGCTTTTATACGGTTTCCGTCTCCTTCCTTCAGAGTGAGACCAATTACGCCTTTCTTTTTTTAAATTTTTTATTTTCAATTACGCCTTTTTTAATAGTGTACCCCTCGGCTACCATAAATCTGCTGATAACAAGCTTGCTGAATCACTGACCTTACTTATGAATGATTTTAGATGAGCTGACTCTGAGCAAAGACCTAAAAGTGGCTTAAAACAACTAACTCTCAGGCATGAAACAAAAGAAGTCATATGACAATGATCGATTTTTTTCAGTGCTCAAAGCCGTTCCCATTTATTTATGGACATGTAATTGTGCTTCCAATCTGTGACATAACCAAGCTATAAATGCCAGTTAAATGCATGTTAATGAATGAATAACTTAGGTGAGTGTTTTATCAAGTGTGGAGTAAATAAATGTGCCCCCAACTCTAGTCTCAACAATTTAAAAACTAGAAAATAAAGGTAAAATTAATTATAGTAAAAGTGAAAAAAACCTCAGCTGACAAAGTTTCTTTAAAAAGTTACATAGCTTACAATTGATGTATGGATTGTTACAAGAGATGTAAGAATCCCCAATAAAATGATCTTTAAAAAAAGGTATATAACTAAGCATGAATTGAAAATATCTGGGGTGAGATAAAATAACTTACATCTGTTAAGTTATGTCATAGCTAATGAAGTTAAGTTAATTAAGCAATGAACTTCCTTCAAGGCATAGACTCATTAATTAAGACTATTTGTAAGGTAAGCATTACCCAAAACTACCAGTCAGAAAACAACTAACCAGTGTACTGGGAAATATTGAAAACTCTACCTGATATAAACCAGGCAAAAATAATCAATTTATTTACCTCTGGCACATTTTTTTGGTCTGTGAAAGATGAAAACTACACAAGAGAAATAAAAGGAACAAAGTTTCTATTTATTATCATAAATGTTCATGTAATTCAGGAGAACAAAATTTTAAAAAGGCTTTAGAGAAAAGCAGGAATAAACTTTAATGCTGACAGTAACAGACAGAACTTTTGGATCAACACCTACCGATTTTTTTCTACTGTTTTCCAGATCTTTGAGTTCATTCTCGATTTTTGTGATTAATTCCCTGAGTTCATCAAGATTAGTGCAAATAAGCTAAAATAAAACACAAAAACACAGCTTGATAACACATAATATAAAACACCCAAAATGTGGTAAACAGAAGTTGTTTTAACACACACAGAATTCACAAATAATATTTCTTTGCAATAGCATGGAACGCTCTGGTTTATATTTAACTAGATACTTATTTGGTATGCTGTAAGAACTGCAGGGCTACTATCAAAGAAACGGAAATGTCCAGAGGTGGATGTCTTCACCTCCTATCCGCCCCCCCACCTTTCTGTCTGCTTTCTAATGCAGGTGCTTCCTTCAGCAATAGTATTAGTGTTCAGCCCAGAATGACAAAGATCTGGAAACTCACTCACCCTAGGTTTCACAGGTCACTCAATTACCTTTCCTGGAACAGTCTCCTTCCTGTTAGAGCTCTTAGACCTTCAATTTGGTTTACTAGCTACAACAAACCTTAGTTACTGTTGTTGAGAGACATTTAAGAAAGACTTCAACTAATATGTAAGACATTTAAACACATAAATGAAATTAACTACTCATTCTTTTTTTCCCCCAGCTGTTTATTTCACTACTCATTCTTAATGCGAGTTTAATAATCTTAATAAAACCATCTCCACAGATAGCATTTCTTTTGAAAATTGTACGGTTCTCTTTATTTACCCCAGTAATGTTAAGAGGTGGTAAAATAAACTGGTTCTTAGTTGCTGATAACCGAATTAGCTTAGTTTATGATAGTTTTAAATAGCAAAGTGTTAGCAATAACACCAAAATATCAGTAAGTACATTTTGGTGCTTGTGAAGTTACACTTAGATTTTCTAAATAGTGCAATATAGTTTCCATTTTTTTCCTTCAAAAACTTAAGCTCATTGGCAAGATATACACTGTAAAAAATAAAAAGATTTAGAAAACAAAATTGTAGCAGCGGTTAGTTTAATATTGTCTTGATTGTAATGCTTATAGTATGTGGTAATTTTAAAAAGCATATTGCACTTACAAAGCTATTAACTATTCGTTTTTACTGGTTGATTGGTTGTTTGAAGGCAATAGATTTTCCTAAAAGGAATACTTTTTTTTTGTTAGAAAATAAACCAAACAACCAACAAAGTAAAAGTGGGTAGCAATACATCAATCCTATTAACTGCCAACTGCCAATAGTGAGGGCCAAGGAGTCCTCTATGTCCTTTATTGTAAGGTTTAACCTTAAGAAGTCACTGATAGACAATTGCTTCGGTACAAAAATGGCAATCTAGCTCAAGCTAAAAAGGAAAAATAAAATCACAACATGAATTATGAGCAATAATTACTTATTTAGTATTATCTATATAATTACAAAATCATAGAACTGAGACAGTAGGGAAATAAGTATTTAAAAGTCATCTCAAATTACGCAATTTTAAGAGTAGAAACATCTTAATGGGGGCAGGGGATAGTGCAAGTTATTAGCCACAACACATTCCCTTTGGCCAAATGAAATTCGGTGGTCTAGCAGCAGGTAGACTAGTCAGTCATACAAGTTCCCTGAGGTCCAGATCATAGCCTCTCTGAGAGAGCGAAACTCCACAGGGCTGCCTTGGTTTCCCAAGACTGTGCAGGTTTTCCACCTTTGACAGGATGTAGTCTTACCACTTTGCTACTGCTCTCTATTTGTGGAAAACACTTAAGTTTTCCCTCTGACAGGTTTCTGCAGGTCCCGGGACAGATCTGTTTAATACCTGGTGAGAACTATGCACTTATTATTTAATGACTTCCATGTCAATTTTTTTTCCTATAGTGCATGCCTGGGCCATTTATACTTCTTCTTGCTGCAATTGGTAGACGGGCTCATGTTACGTAGCATAGATATCTCATCTGCACAAACAGTAAAGCTTAGAGAATTGTATCTTATATGTCTAGGCAGAGAATTGGGGCACATTTGACATGTAGAGTGTAGAAACCCTACAAGAAACACATATTAAAAATGTGAAGACCTTTCCATTTCTAATTAGTCATGAGATCAAGATACATTTAACAAATCTGAGGTTAAAATATTAGAGTCCCTACAGTTTAAAGCGCTATTTAAAGTAACACTTTCAAAGTCAGCTGCCTAGTTAGTAGTACTAATTTAGTACAACTAGTACTAAATTAGTACTTCTCAATCTTTAATGTGCATAGGAATCTCCCTTGGAAGCTTATGAAAATGCAGTTTTAAATTTCAACAGGCTGAAGTGGGGTCTTGGATGCCAGGCATGGCCGGCAGACCACACACTGTAGTAGTAAAGCATTTGCTGATTATGAATCTGTTATCAATGTGGCTACTGACACATTCTGGTACTATGGAGCTGAAGAATATAAAAATTCAAAAGATTAACCACATAGATGATGGCACAATAAATATACAATGATAAAAGAAATGTTCCTTAAAATAGATATGATTATTAAAAAGGAATTTCACTGATTTTGAGTGTTGTGTATCGTCAGCAATTTTGAAACGGTATTTTGAAACTTTGAAATGATATTAAAATGACAAATTACTTTATAATTTCACACTTATGTATTTTATATTTATGAAGCCCCTTCGTGTATGCATGTGTACTTCTAGCTAATACACACATATAAAATACACACACACACACACAAGCACACAAAGGGGCTTCAAAAAGTTCACACACTTGGGTAAGCTCATAAGTATTGCCACTAGGGTTCTAGTTTCCACACACACAGGTTTATTCTAAACAACATGTGTTCAAGCATGTCTCTGTGATCAGTGGCTGCCTTCAGACAAGTTCTCTCAGAAGCAAATTTATCTTCATCTCATTAGCATGTCACTGAACAGAAAGAGAGAGAGAGAGAAATACTTTCTGTGCCATGGAAAAAGAGGATTTTGAGGTCTGGGCCAAACAAATTTTTAACAAAACTCAAATGGACATCTTCCCAAATTCTTGAGGTTTTACAACAAGTTTACAAGGGTGCTGTCCCACACAGAAAAGTTTTTATATGGCTCAAGCATTTTAAGAAATGTCAAAGGTGAGTTCAAGACCAACGTGAGCTCAGAAGGAAGGTTATAGGGACTGATTTTGGGGACTACAAAGGGGTAATCATGATACTTTTTCAAAGGAAAACGTAGGGACTTATTAAGATATTTTTAAAAAGAGAAAAACTTCATTGGTGAGGAAAAGGCACTGAGGAATTTTTTTTCCATCAGGACAACGCATCTGCTTATCCTTCCAGAGAGCATCGGGAATACCCTTCCCTGGTAAACGCTATCCCATCACCCCAGAGACCTGATCTTGCCGCCCTGCCAGTCTTCTTGTTCCCCAAACTCAAAGCATTGAAAAGAAATATAACCAAGTTCCTCAAGGGTGCCCAGAATGCCACCGTGGCACTGTGTAAAGTGAAGAGTTCATCAGGTCAGGGTTAAAGAGACGGAAACATCACCTTTCTAAGTGTATAGACCTAGAGAGAGGATATACTGAGAAACAATAGCTTCACATTTTGATACTTTTGCTTAATAAACATTTCTACAAATTTATAGCAATACTTTTGGACTTACCCTAGTGTGTGTGTCCTAAATATGCATGCCTACTTAATATACAAGGTCAAGTTACGCTATTAAAAAAATTCCTGTACAGAAGCATAATTCTTTTACCGATTCCTAAAGAAAAATAATTTGATTTAGGTCATGTGTCTTGGTCATGTATACTCTCTACACTACAAAGCAAGGCACAGATGTTGGCTTTATAACTCTTAATGCCAAATGGGGCTTTTAAACAGTCAGTCTAGTATACTAAGTTCATCTTAATAAGGTGAATAGATGTCTTTTTTGAGCATAGTAAAACATCTTATTAAAACTTCCTCAGTACCTTGCTTTTCAAAGACATTCCTGGGGCATGAGGGCCTCCAGGGGTACAACAGAAAACTCCCCAGTCCCCCTGGCCAAGGCTCATGGGGGGTTTCCGTCTTATGACAGCAGTTACAGGGAGAGTTTTATCCCCTACCTAGACGGTGCTCTGTAAAGCTGTTAACACTTTCCTTCCTCATGCAAACCTTGCACTTGTCACACCCACAGGCAGGCCACCAAAGCATAGATCTCAGAGCTTAAAGAAACCGAAACCGTAGTTTTCCAAACCTCTTTCCAGGCAAGCAATGTGTAACCCCAAACCTCACAGCAGCTGATACGATCAACAGAGGTGCTGTTGCCTCAGAAGAGGCACTCATGAAGCAAGGGTGGGGAATGTCCAGCCCGTGGGCCTTACAGAAGGCAGGCCAGTGACATGAGATCAACAATCCTAGTCAACACTGCCCACCTCACCAAAGAGAAGCAGCACCAGCTTCACATTAAGGGTGAGGTAATTGTTTGACCAAATACAGCAGGCTAATTTTTAAGTTGATAATTTTGTATGGCCCAAGAGTGATGCTATAAATAATCAAATGGCCTTTGGGAGAAAAAAGGCTTCCCACCCTGCCCTATACCCTAGGATGACCCTTACGCTGGATGCAGCACTTCCTCAACTACATCAGTGTCTGTAAGGAGGAAGTTTTTGAAACAAAGCCAAACCTTCCAACCACCACTACCAAGCATGGACTCTGGTTTTAGGATTCAATTTATATCTAAACTTTCACTTGTAATCAGTGATAAATACTAAAATGCATTCTCCTCAAGAAGCAGAAGTGTATGGAAGTGGGTGAATGCCCTGTAGAGATTAAAAAAAATCTCCATGAAAAATTACATAATAACTAATTCTTTACCTTGTTACTACTTCGAGTAAGAAACTATGCCTTTTGGGGGTATAAACTCAATAGGTTTTAGGAATATTGACTTTATTTCCATACTGCCTTTTCCAAATTGGATATAAGGTAGCATACAATATACATATCATATAGTGAAAATTAAATGAAAGGTCAAAGGGAGAACCAGCCATTAAAAAGGGACAGAACACATTTGTGATCATTCTAATAGAAAGATTCCATCATTTATTTAAAAACTTATAAGTAAAACACTAAGTGCATGATATAAATCCAAAATTCATATTGCAAGTAAACCACAATTCTGTTAGCAATTGATCACTGCACATGACAACTGATTAAAACCCTCCAAGTAAGAGCATGGCTTATGATACAAAAGCCAAAGCAGTCAGATTAACAAGTGAACAATATAATTTCTTTACGATCATAGGTCAACAAGACACTGGAGTTTCTTGAAAAGCACTACACTTAAAAAAGGAAACTATTATAAGGAGGAAGGAAAGCCCATCCCGCTCAGCATCAGACAATAGCTGAGGTGATGACACTCCTAATGAAAAAATCCAAAGTTCCTCACAGAAGTGAAGGAGAAGCACTAATTTTAATTGGGCTACAATTGGTCACACTGCGGATAGTACTTTATTCCTCATCTCTTCATTGGTCCAATGGAGAAACAGTGGTTTTGCCTATACTCCGGATAAGGATTAGCAAGTTTTTGTTTCTGTTTGAAAACAATACTAATAACCAAGTCTTTCTAACTGGTTTCTACATTCCCTTTGCAAATAGCTTTTAGAATAAACCACACACATCCAGAATAGGAATATGCATGTGTTGTGTATTTTAAAGATACTGTGAATCTGTTCTAATTATGCCCCCAAGAGATTCATGTAGATAATCTGGGGGCAAAAATCTACTCACTTTTCTAAGAAAACTGACATAATCTTTTTAAAAAAACTTTTAACATTCTAACAAGGTGCTACAAAACTGATCAAGAGAAAAAATAATACAGTCATTACAGAGTAAAGTAACTGCAAATCAACACAATCTGCTACCCTCAAAGTAAAACTCTTTCCCACTTATAAGTAATTGGGGGGGCAATTATTATTGACTAAAAAATCTGGAAGACTGCCCCGAGTATATGCCAACTGTACAATCAATCCACCATAATACTAGAACAGGCTGGGAGGATTCTTTCAGTTGCATCAAATATAATGACTAAAGTAACATTACTTGGCTGTTATTTTTTGAATTCCTGTAGGCTTAATTATGTGCCACTTTCATTAAAACGAAATCCAAGACTTACTTCAAAATCAAAAGTTTCCGGCTACTTTTAAAACAAAAATTTTGCCTGAAAGTAGCAGGTAAAAGGTCAGTAAGAGATGCTTTAAAGCAAATTCTTAATTGATTTTACTCTTCCTCGTACAGAATTTTCCAAAGTGAGACACTAGGGCCACTTTTATCAGAAGCATCTGGCAAGCTTATTTGAAGAAAACACAACAAGAGTTAAAACAGTAAGCTTACTCATTGAATCCTCATTAAAACTCATTGTACAGATGAAGAAGCAGAAGCACCAAGAAGTTAGGTAATTTAGCTGAATTTAAGGAGTTGATAGTATCGGAGTCCACAGCCGTACCCAACTTGCCCAGCTCCAAAATTCACGGGCTTCATCACTATGCAGACCACTGGTGCTCATCTAGACTCACCGAATCGTATCTTTGGGGGAATGAGACCTAAGAATCTCCATCTTTAATAAAGGCATCCAATAACTCTTAGGAGTAAGTGCATAGGTATGACTAGTCCTTTTATGATCCACAACAAACACAAACACAATCCACTATTTGAAGCCTAAGCAGAAGTGGGATTACTTTCTTACACAGAGGTATCGTTTTTGTTCAGCTGTGTAGATAAACAAGCATGAAGTCTCCCTGAAGCAAGCATGCAGCTAGGTTTTCTTTCTAAGATAGCCCCCGTCAGACTGAAAAGTAACTGAAGTCAGACAGGATCTAAGCACGTTTTACTATCTAAGGAAGAGCAGTCCTTTGGCAAATCGGACAAGTCTGGCAAAAAGGCATTCACCATGGATATACCCCCAGTTTCATTATTTTCAGCAATATTTTAGAGTGGATAATATTAAGAAAATCTTCTACCTAAATATTTCTGTAAAGCACGTTTTCTAATACTAGAAATGAGGTATTTAAAATAACTTGGATAAAACAATTTGCATACTCTTGGGCTAAAATTAAAACTTTTGGGAAGAAAACAGATTTACTTAAATAACTAAAAAAGTCTTCCTACATGTGGGAAACTTTCAAACAATGTAAGAAACACGGTCTACACAAAGTATTCTAAGAGGTGAAATTCTAAGTTTTGCATTTACCCACAAAGTTACTGTAGGCCAGTGCTCCTAATCCCTTAGTCCACTAGCATGCTTGTTTGAGGCGGATGGCTCATTCTCTGAGTCTGCAGTCACTTTCTTCACGAAGACCACGAAGAATACCAAGGGATTACTCGTGTACGCCAGGGCTAAGAGTCACTGTTCTCCTGAATCTCCTCCTCCTCCTCTCTCTCCCCCTCCCTCCCTCCTTCCCTCTCCCTCTCAGAACCTAAGAACCAGGAAGGGAGACCTTGTTTTTAAAAGTTCAATCTGGCAAAACATGTACTTTTGACCTTGTTTCTGAGAGCAGTAAGCAACTGGTCAGGAGCCAGTTCAAAGCATCACTAAGAGCAGTGCTTCTCAAACACTTCTGCCCATGACCCATAGACAAAAAGATTTTGCATTTCCAGTGCACACAAATGCATGCACACGATTAAAACCAAAGGTTCATGAAACAATATCTGTATGTATTTGTATGTATGTATGTATGTATGTATGTATGTATGTATGTAAGTAATACACTTTGATAGCACTTCTAATTTTGTTGCCTTAAAAAAATATGCTGGCATAAGAGCTGTACGAGCCCCCAATAAAATGATTTATTTAAAAAACAAACCAAAACATGCTGGCCATGTAATCCATTAAATTGTGTTCACTCTCCATAAATGGGCCACTCCCTACACTGCCTGTGACACTTATAACATGGACAAGTCAGGCCCGAAGTTGGGAATGGAGAAAGTATCAATAGTGGACACGACCTGTCCTAGATCTGAGTACCAGACACACAGTGTCTGAGAGACAATGAGGGAGAGAACTAACAAGGCTAGCATGCCACCAGTGAAAGCTTGGGTAACTTAGTAATATGATAGAACTAAATAATGGACCAGCAAAGGGCAAAGGTCTTTAAGTAAATATGAAAATCACATTTTTTGTTGACAATACTGGAAGCTCAGATACTTTACATAAAAGAATTTTATAGAAAGGTATGTAATTCACCCTAAAAATTTCATTAAAATACACTTTAATGAAAATTTTATTTCATTAAAATACACTTTAAAATACACATTAAAATACTGAGAGAAAATTATGTCTAAATCCTTTCTCTGGTGAATTAAAAACATTAAAAAAATTTTATAAACTAGTTACTTCCATAAAAGCATTTCCAATACTGAAAGTAAATATGTCCCCATTTCTAGGTAAGTAACTGTTAAACTCACATTACATATTACCAATATTTTCATAGTTACTCCATTATTTCCCTTTTTGCCTGGCTTGAGACTCACAGAAACTCCTCTAAAAAATCATTTTATCTCTTGGCATTTAAATTAGCTCTTAATACTTTTGGAGAAGTGCTTGACCTGTTGATGGACTGGCTATAATACAAAGACATTCTTAATTCAATTAGGTATGATGCTTATTATCAGAGGTAAAACAAAACAAAACAAAAAAAATCTCACATCATATGCCAGTACACACAATTCCCAGAATCGTTAAAGGACCATTTCCATTAACCTTTACTTAATATTCTGTCTGATGTTCACATATAGATAAGAGTAAAAAAAGAGTAATTTTTAATTGAATACATCTACCGTCTCCATTGTGTCCAAATACAAGAAAATAGCTAACCTAGGTAATAGTATAATGTATAAATGATGACTTTGCTCCTGCAGATTTCCATTTACACATATGCTTTTATATATATAGATATATATTGTCAAAAAACTACATCTTTAAAATTTAGCTCAGGTTTTAAGAAATGACAGTTTTGACTATCACAAGATAAAATAACTATGAAATACTACCAGATTTAATCTTGGTTATGCATACATTTGTAGGAAAAAGTGATAGCTGAAAACATTTCAATAAAAGTATGAGCTACAGCTTCTTGACATACAGCCAATGTTTCGAAGAAAGACATAACACTGAAGCAAAAAATTTAAAACCAAAACAAAAAACGAGACCAAGCTTTAACATTTACCTGAAATTCTGGTACAGCAGGTGACTTTGTGACAGTTCTCCTCTTCTTTGTGATTGATTTTTTAGATATGGATTTTTTTCCTTTCAAGATTAAAAGAGAAAAGCTTCATAATGCTGTTGACAGCATTTCATTAACAAAAACCAAATTACACACAGCCTTGAAAAGTTAAATGATAACTAACAGATGGCTGCTAGTAGGTCAAATTAAAATGATGAATCAAAACAAACCCCAGTAAAAGCAAACATTAAACTATAACTACTTGTAACAGACATATTAACAAATGCTGTTTTATGTACGAACCGTACTATTGCAATCTCCTACTTGTTTCACAGTATCAGAATTTATTGCAGTAAGATTTGTGGGGGAAAAGACCCTAATACTACTGCTCAGTTAAAACCAACACATTCATAGCTGACAATGAAACTACAAAGAAAATGCCCAAACCCAAACCCTTACCTTTTAGCAATGCCTTCTATAGTCAGGGGCTTGCAAAGAATTAGATTCTGAAGGCTGTGGCCTCTAGCCAACTAATGTGAAAATCAATTCAGTGGCTTAGAAACTAGGCTTTTCTAGCCCTTTAACCCTGTACTCACTCAGAGGGCTGCCTATGGTAATATTCAACAGCCACAGTTTTAGAAAAAGAACACAACTCCCTTTCAAGTAGACCTAGTCACTTGTACAATCAGAAACCACTGGGAAAAAATAAACTTTGTATTCTTAAAGAAGCAGACTTCATGCAGAGAAAGACATAGATTGTTTGTAGCTAACCTGTGACAAAGTGACATATATGCATATAACCTATGTTTTTAATAGGAACATGTTAAAGTAAATCCCCCCTGCCCCCACTCCCCAATCCCAGCTATTTGTAATGAGTAAACCCAAGGAACCAGTCATTATTTAATAAACACACAAAGAATAGATTATGGGGACAGGAAGATATTAGAAAATGGAGACCCTGTCCTGCAGGAGCTTAACAACTGATGTAAGGGATTTAATTTTTTAAATGGTTGGGGAGGGGAAGGGGGAGCGGGGAATGGAGGGTACTTAGTAATTTCACAATAATTTTTTTCTTCTTCCTTTAATCGTTTTATTAGGGGCTCATACAACTCTTATCACAATCCATATATACATCAATTGTGTAAAGCACATTTGTACATTCATTACCCTCATCATTCTCAAAACATTTGCTCTCCACTTAAGCCCCCGGCATCAGGTCCTCATTTTTTCCCCTCCCTCCCTCAAGAACCCTTGATAATTTATAAATTATCATTTTGTCATATCTTGCCCTGTCCGACATCTCCCTTCACCCACTTTTCTGTTGTCCGTCCCCCAGGGAGGAGGTCACATGTAGATCCTTGTAATCGGTTCCCCCTTTCCAATCCACTCTCCCTATACACTCCCAGTATCGCCACTCGCACCACTGGTCCTGAAGAGATCATCCGCCCTGGATTCCCTGCGTTTCCAGTTCCTATCTGTACCAGTTTATACCCTCTGGACTAGCCAGACTTGCAAGGTAGAATTCCGATTTGATAGTGGGGGGAGGAAGCATTTAGGAACTAGAGGAAAGTTGTATTTTTCATCGTTGCTACCTCGCACCCTGGCTTGTCTCTTCCCAGAGACCCCTCTGCAAGGGGATCTCCAGTGGCCTACAAATGGGTTTTGCGTCTCCACTCCCTACTTCCCCCCTCATTGGCTATGGTTAAGATTTTTTGTTCTGATGATGCCTGATACCTGATCCCTTCGACACTTTGTGATCGCACAGGCTGGTGTGCTTCTTGTAATTTCACAATAATTTATAGGCTAAAGTTACCTTAAAGGTTACAATTTTTTTTCAATAAGGAAAATGAGCAAATTCAAGTAGCCTGGTGCTGTACACATCCCCAATGCTCTTTAGATATAATTTCAGTTTACATTATCATTGTATTATCTTCTGTGTTTCTTTTCAGCCATATCAAAGAATTACAATGGGATAATTTCTAATTTTTTATCCAATACAATGTATGTATACTATGCTTAAACTACTGCATTTCTGAGTTGAAGTTCAAATGTGTGTGTGTGTGTGTGTGTGTGTGTGCTGAACTAGCACTATCAGCCTGCCACTGCTTAGAATCAATTTGGAATAAAACTCAACATTTCATTTTACATCACTGTAAGAGAACCTATGTGAGTGACTGTAGACATGCCATGCTCACCGAGAAGGGGTTAATTTGGTTACCCCTGTAACACAGCCAATAACTGATTTCTCAACTGGGCACCACACAACTCCCCAATGGAGCGGTTCATGAATCTGAACAACCCGATGTCTCTACATACCACTGTTATCATTTCTTTCAGAGCATTGGAGAAGTTTAATGGTCTGCTGACCTAAGTCAACTTTAAGAATCTGGTCTTTCAGAGGTATGCTTCAAATTGTAGCTGGAGGTAAAGCGTGACTTAAAGGAAATGAAATTCACCCCCAGCCTCTGCCTCTCAGCACTGCTCCAGTTGTTAGCTGCCACAGAGTTGAGTGCTGAGTATACATACCAATACAATAGTATACATACATTGTATTGGATCAAAAAGCTGCCACTATGGGTAAGTGACCCTACGCTCCATCTCATACCATCCTCCCAATGCTTTTTAACTGCTCTAATTAGCTCTAAGATGTTTTATTTGGTTTTATACTCACTATGGCACACAGAGGTCACCTTTGCTAGCCCTATGACTTCTGTAGTGCTGTCACAAAGTCACTGATCTCAGGTACGAAGTTCTCAGTGAACTGGTGCAGCTTTTCTGGATTGCAGAGGAGAGACGATAAAGTACAAGGTACAAAGTTTCATCAAGAAACTCAGAAACTGACTAGAGCAGTGTTGACTAGTGGTTACTGGGTAAACCTTATGAACTTGCATGTCTGGACTAACTACTAGCAGGTGAGACCCTGGGCAAACAGCTGTATTTCATGGAGCAGTTTCTTTACCTATAAAACAGGGGCAATAATACAACCCGCTTTGTGGGATGGTGTTCAATGCATAAAGAGCTTAGGAAACTGCCAGGCATATGTTACCATTGATACATCTTGTGGCTGTCCTCTGCCTTAGCCCAACTCTGGTGATAGTCTATGTAGAAAATCTTTATCTTTTAACCTTCATATCTTAAAAAAAAAATCATCTTGATTTTTCTTGCTCCACTGTTCTCTTGTGCTAACTTTATACTCTACTTCGTATTCTACATTGTACATGTATCAAATGATCTGTTTACATGTTTTCTTCTTTGCTAGATTGTGAGTGAGGATAGAAATAACTTTCTTCCCTCTTATTATTTACTGGTAGAACTTTGTTCTAAAAGTTAGCTGAAGTACATGAACCCTGCTCATCACCAGAAATTCCACCAGCTTAGGAATGGGAAAGGCAGGCAGGTGATTGCTCCATAGTTCTGAGCGCCCTTTAAGTCCATTTCAGAGTGAAGAAAGCACTGATGGTTCCTTTAAATAATACACACAACTTATCACAGAGTGTCACACTATGATCTAGGATGGTAATACTAAGGTCAACTAAGATTAAGATTTACTGAGGGTCAGTGAAGTGCTGGTGGTAGTGATCCAGAGGGGCATCAAAAGCAGATTTTTAAGATCTATAATACAAAAGTTTTTAATTGCCAGGGAGGTAGAGAGTAATTTTTTTTCTTTTCCCCTGGAATGGAGGCCATTGGCCAAATAGGTTTGGGAACCTATAGTATATATGAGGTGACTTCAAAAAGTAGGTTGAAAATTCCCATTATCTTTTTTTTTTTTCCCCATTATCTTTTAATTCCATCTTCCCACTAACTTTTTGGAGTCCCCTTATATAAAACAAGTTAGACACTGCCCCCTAGTGGGTTTCTATCACTAACTACTGTGGTTGATTCCAACTCATGAAGATCCGGAGGGAAGAGTGGGATTAATCCACGGGGTTTTTACAGCTGCCACCTTTCAGCAGATCACCAGACCTGTCTTCCAAGGGGTTGCTGGGTGGATCTGAACCAACAACCTTTTGGCTACTAGCAATTAACCAGATGCACCATCCAGCCATCTTACTTGACCATAAGGTCTTTTATCTCCACCCACTTAAAAGCCACCTATAAAACAGAACACCATTCTCTTAGAATTGTGCAGAAGATTGGCGTCCACTTAAAATCAACACAAAATTCCAGCACAATCTTTGAGTTCCAAACATGTAACTGTGAAATACATCAAGTTTTGCCAGAAAAATGGAGAAGGAAACCTTAGTAAGGCCTAGTTATTAGTGTTACACACACACATCCCAATGGAACTTTCTAATTAAGACTAACTTAAGAAAAGGAAGGATAGCAGAAGTGTTTGATACTGTAACTGAGGCTGCACTTGACTCCAGTCTGGAAACTGTCCTTTAGAAGAGCAAAGCTGGCTCTCATCCCGCCCTGCCTCCCCGCCTCTCCTCAGCCTCCTCGTCTCCCTTACCACCTCTCTCCACCTCCTCCCTGCCTGGCTTCACCCCAGGGGCTACTCAAGACCTCCAACTCAGAACCTTCCCAGGTTTTAAAATCACCCCAACACATTCTCATAGCGAATTTGTTGAGGAATCTCAATAAATGAGAAGATACTAAGATATTAATCACTGCTGTTAAGCAAAAAGGCTTGGTGGTGCTTAGCTGATAAACCAAAAAGGTCAGCAGTTCAAACCTACCAGCTCTCCTGCAGGATGAAGATGTGGCAGTCTACATCTTTGGAAGCAGTAGGGACAATTCTGCTCTGCCCTACAAAGGGACCAGGAGTCAGAACGGAGGCGACAGTCACAGACTGGTGGTTTAACAAAACAGCAGCTCCCTGAGAGAATGCCTGTATAATCACAACCTGGCAGACACTGCAGGGTACCCTACTCTGTCATGCAGGGCTGTCATGAGTAATGACTTGTGGCACATGACGATCACTGATGAAAGTCAAGTCTCAAGAGCATCTGTATTATTAAAGTGCCTGGTATGTGACGCCACAGAAGTAGAGTCTGAATTTTGACTTTTATTTACTATACACGAGGGAGTATCCAAAAAACCCCGGAATCCTCCCCCCCCAAGCTAGGTATTTAAATTT